CAAAACCAAAGTCGCTTGAAGGAGCTGGCTTTTCTCCACGCTTCCGCTATATTTGAAAATCCATGAAAATCCTATCACAATCACATAGAATGTGCATCCAGGCATCTACCCCTACAAAGCTCGGTACCAAGTTGTTGGAGTCGATGTTTGTTATAAGGCCTTTTTCATTCGCTGCATGTTTGATCTAGATTGATAGGGATTGGCCAAAGTCCACATCTCCTATCATTGTATCAAGTTTATCACAGCGATGCAGATATAATAAATCGAATCTGCTGAATCCGCTGAATTCGCTGACTCAGTCTGCGCAGACCTATAGTGCCTTGATGCGTCACATAGATACCGCTTGCAGAGAAAGCAGATTCAAAACCTGTCGAATGTGTTCAAGTTCTATCTTCTGAGCGAAAGGCTATCGGCAATACATGGCAAAACCCTGTGTGAAGAGCATGGCGAAAGAAAATGAACATTACATCACTACAGTGTCAGGAGACAGGAAACTTGCTTCGCCAAGGTCGTGAGAAATGCACCGGGTTCCAAGGATGGTTTTCTTGGAAAGTTTCCTGAAAGGACTCAAACTGTCATATTTTTTTGCAGCTATCTAAATTAGAAGTGAAGGAATAAATATCCCTGACCTTCCAACCACAAGCTTTAACGTTGTGGTGAGTCTAACTGCATGTCTTTACTGAACCCCATCATTTCACTGCTATTCACTGCTTATAGTCATCCTAGGTCCATTTTACATCTTGTGAACTTGTATCATCTTATGACAAGTTTTTCATAGACATGCGAGAGAACACACCAAGCTGAAGACAAAGGGTTTGAATCAGCCGAGGCAGTGTACACATACTACGAAATGGTACCGAAAAATGTACCGAATGCCTTGATACGTCACACCAATACAGGTTGCAGAGCAAGCAGATTCAAAGCCTATGTCAAATGTATTCGAACTCCATCTCCATGGAGAAAGATTGCGGGAGATCTGGCGAAAGAAAATACACACAGTGTAAGGAAGTTTGATGAAATGTGCTTCGCCAAGGTTGTGAGAAACGCATAGAAACGCCATAGGTCCTCAGCACATTCTGTATGGAAAGCATCAACAAATGTCACACCAAGTTATTCAATGACCTTAAAACGAAGAATTCATTTCTAGACACGGAAGATGTGGACACTGGGCGGCTGTCTTAACAAATGACTTTTCTGCTGGAAAGATCTATGAATTCCTCTCCAGACAGATGCTCACGCGCCAAGAAGGACCCGAACAGGTCGTGTCCGAACTGAGGCCCCCGGCCATAATCGTTTTGCACATCCACCGGTGCATTGGCCGCAAGCAGCAGCTCCACCACCGCTGTTTTACCATTGGCTGCTGCCCGGTGCAATGGGGTGTCGCCTCGGCCCAACGCCAACACACTGTGAGGGCAGGCTCGGAGGCTGCCGTTTTTTTGAGAAATTTCATCAAGGTCAAGGTCCATTTCCACTAAATCCATTTGAAAGATCGTGAAAAGAAGTTATCAGCACAATCATGACAATCCCCTTTCAATCTTTTTTACATGCGTTACCTTCAAATGGTAAATCGAACTTGTTCAAAACCAAAGTCGCTTGAAGGAGCTGGCTTTTCTCCAGGCTTCCGCTATATTTGAAAATCCTATGAAAATCCTATGTGTGGGATTCACCAAAACCCATGTCGACATATGTCGACTAAATAATCCAAAATCACCAAATATCCATATGAAAGCATCTTATCTGCATCTTGAATTCGGGCGGCCACCAAGTGAAGCCAACAACGAAGCGCCAAGGCCAGAGATCCACAGGTACTCTGCAGCTGAGGCCCCCTGCCGTACTCGTTTTGTATCGCCAGCGATGCCACCTCCATCAGGAGCTTCACCACCTCCACGTGGCCCGTGCCAGCTGCCAGGTGGAACGGAGTCCAGCCTCGGGCAGCCCATGCGGCAGAGACATTTCTCGCTGAATGTGGAGGAAAGAGTCACAACCGAAACCCGTTGGGATCGAACGAAGTTCACCAGAAGGTCACAGTGTCAGGAGACAGGAGACTTGCTTCGCCAAGGTCGTGAGAAATGCACCGGGTTCCAAGGATGGTTTGCTTGGAAAGTTTCCTGAAAGGACTCAAACTGTCTATTTTTTGCTGCTATGTAAATTAGACGTGAAGGAATAAATATCATTAAACATCCCTGACCTTCCAACCACAAGCTTTAACGTTGTGGTGAGTCTAACTGCATGTCTTCACTGAACCCAGTCATTTCACTGCGATTCACTGCTTATAGTCATCCTAGGTCCATTTTACATCTTGTGAACTTGTATCATCTTAATCAAGTTTATAATGACTTTTCTGCTGGAAAGATCTATGAATTCCTATCTCCAGACAGACGGTCACGCGCTAATAGAAGCCAAACGAGTCGCGTCCGAACTGGGGCCCCCGGCCGTTCTTGTTTTGCACATCCACCGGTGCATTGGCCGCCAGCAGCAGCTCCACCACCGCTGTTTTGCCGCAGAGTGCTGCCTTATGCAGCGGGGTGTCGCCTCGGCCCAACCCCAACACACTGCGAGGGAAGGCTTTGAACAAAGCCATTCTCAACGCCACTGCGAGCCGGTTTTTCTTTCAAGAAACTTCATCAAGCCACATTTACACTGTATGAACCCATGTGAAAAATGGTGAAAGCATCTTATCTGCACTGCATAGTCACCCTTTTCTACATGACTTACCTTCAAATGGTAAACCGAACTTGTTCAAAACCCAAGTTGCTTAAGGAAGCTGTTTTCTCCTCTCCAACTTGGACAAACTTCATCAAAATACCTTTCAACTACAAAATGTGAATATTACCTTTACAAAAAACGTGTAATTTTATCTGTACAAAAAACGGGTAATTTTATCTGCATCTTGAATGCAGGCTGCCACCAAGTGAAGCCAACGACGAAGCGCCAAGGCCAGAGATCCAGGTACTCTGCAGCTGAGGCCCCCTGCCGTCTTCGTTTTGCACCGCCAGCGACGCCACCTCCACCAGGAGATTCACCACCTCCACGTGGCCGCTGGCAGCTGCCAAATGCAACGGAGTCCAGCCTCGGGCAGCCCATGCGGCAGAGACATTTCTCGCTGAAGTGGAGGAAAGAGTCACAACCGAAACCCGTTGGGATCGAACGAAGTTCACCAGACAGTCACCGAAAAACCGCAGAGGCCCCGGGCCAACGTTCTCTTGCATGTCCACCTGCGCCTTGGCCGTGAGAAGCAGCTGGACCACCTCCGCGTGGCCGCAGCGTGCCGGTCTGTGCAGCGGGGTCCAGCCTCAGTCCGGAGCCCGGCCTGTGGAAGGAGTGCGGCAGCCCGAATGCACAATCACATCGAATGTGCATCCGGGCATCTACCCCTACAAAGCTCGGTACCAAGTTGTTGGAGTCGATGTTTGTTACAAGGCCTTTTTCATATTCGCTGCATGTTTGATCTGGATTGATAGGCATTGGCCAAAGTCCACACCTCCTATCATTGTATCAAGTTTATCACAGCCATGCAGATATAACAAATCGAATCTGCTGAATCCGCTGAATTCGCTGACTCAGTCTGCACAGACCTAGTGCCTTGATGCGTCACACAGATACCGCTTGCAGAGAAAGCAGATTCAAAACCTGTCGAATGTGTTCAAGTTCTATCTTCTGAGCGGAAGGCTATCGGGAATACATAGCAAAACGTGAAGAGCATGGCGAAAAAAAAATCGAACATTACATCACTACAGTGTCAGGAGACAGGAGACTTGCTTTGCCAAGGTCGTGAGAAATGCACTGGGTTCCAAGGATGGTTTGCTTGGAAAGTTTCCTAAAATGACTCAAACTGTCATATTTTTTGCGGCTATATAAATTAGAAGTGAAGGAATAAATATCCCCGACCTTCCAACCACAAGCTTTATGTGGTTAGTCTAACTGCATGTCTTTACTGAACCCCATCATTTCACTGCTATTCACTGCTTATAGTCATCCTAGGTCCATTTTACATCTTGTGAACTTGTATCATCTTATGACAAGTTTTTCATAGACATGCGAGAGAACACACCAAGCTGAAGACCAAAGTTTCGAATCAGCCGAGGCAGTGTACACATTGCGAAATAATACCAAAAAATGTACAATACCGAATGCCTTGATGCGTCACACCAATACAGGTTGCAAAACAAGCAGATTCAAAGCCTATGTCAAATGTATTCGAACTCCATCTCCATGGAGAAAGATTGCGGGAGATCTGGCGAAAGAAAATACACACAGTGTAAGGAAGTTTGATGAAATGTGCTTCGCCAAGGTTGTGAGAAACGCATAGAAACGCCATAGGTCCTCAGCACATTCTGTATGGAAAGCATCAACAAATGTGACACCAAGTTATTCAATGACCTTAAATCGAAGAATTCACTTCTAGATTCTAGACACGGAAGATGTGGACACTGGGCGGCTGTCTTAACAAATGACTTTTCTGCTGGAAAGATCTGTGAATGACTATCTCCAGACAGACGGTAATGCGCTGAGGCCCCCGGCCTTTCTTGTTTTGCACATCCACCGGTGCATTGGCCGCGAGCAGCAGCTCCACCACCGCTGTTTTGCCCCAGTATGCTGCCTTATGCAGCGGGGTGTCGCCTCGGCCCAACCCCAACACACTGCGAGGGAAGGCCCGAAGGCTCGGAGGAACCGTTTTTTTTGAGAAACTTCATCAAGGCCCATTTCAGTTTACGAAATCCATGTGAAAGCAGCTTATCTGTCTTTCTTTGGTGTATATGGCAAAGCAAGTTGGTTGAAAATGTTGTTTGATTTGATTTTGCTTTGATGTTCACGTCAGTTGCGGAGCATGTGATTCGCTTTGCAATACTATTCTACGATGAGACGCGTCGCCAACATTTACAAAGTGGTAAAGGGGATGTGTGATGCAAGAGGATCGCAACCGCCCAAGTCACGACATCCAAAACGTGAACTTTAAGACATGAACTTTAAGACATGAACTCTTTAAAATACTTTAAAGTTTAAAGACAAATGCAAAGGTTCACATCCCACCGGTGCAGTCTTAGCACTTGTTCCAAAGCAATGTTTTTCAGGAAATTCTTGAATTTTAACAGCATCGCAACCTCCTCCACCAGGTCAGTGCGTATCCTCTGAGAACAAGTCAGCGATCTGAAAGGAACACCAAGGGTTAAAAGGGTAAATGTTTTGAATCTGCTGTGAGTCTACAGATGGTACCAGTACCTATATATAATATAATATAATATATATATATTTGTTTATTTATTTATGGTGCAAAATGAATCATCATGGTACCAGTACCTATATATATATGTATATATATTATAGACCTAATTCTATATATCCAGCGCCTTGATGATCTTGATGCGTTACAGCTTGCAGATTTAAGGACAGTCTCCGGTTTTGCTTCCAGCCCCCATTGACAGTCCCGTGGACTTTGGGGTCCCGGGCGTTCGTCGTCCGTCCGCCGCACGGAGCCGGGCTCCGTGCGCAGCAGGTGCCGCACCGCACCGACGTTGCCGTCGCGGGCCGCCCGAAAAATGTCTTCGCCGCCTCGGCCAGGGCAGCAACGCCGCTGCAGCCCACGTGGACAAAGTGGCTGACCGTTCACCGTCTGGGCAAACTGTTGACAGCTGTGGTGCAGAAATCGTTGAACGATTCCTTTTTTCGGAGCTGCCCTACAATCTTCCTCATAAGCAAAAGCACACCAACCTTCAAACTTCTCGCCATCAGCCATCATGCCTTCCTTCTAACCGACTTCTGAGGCCCTAGCACCCTTTAGCTTCCTTTTCGTCTTCTGCCGAAATAAATCGGAAATCGTCTCCTCGACCTCTCTTCATCTCTTCCACCGTCCTGAAGGCCTGGCACCCAATTGACTCCCAGGGTGCTGCAACTGTGAGACTTCTCAGGGTCTTGTTGACCTCCAAGGCTTCGGCCAAAGCCTGCAGCTGAGTGGCAGGAACAGCTGACACCAAGAAAACATATTGTGCGGTTTGACTTTGTTTCCTTCGTGTTTTTCCCACCGATCGCAACTTGAAAAGCAAAACGATGCAAAAATATGCAAAACATAATATACCTGAGATTCAAAAACCCTTGAAATCGCAGACACCTAGGAAAGAACGATCTTTTCTCAACAAGGCGAACTGTTGGAATGGAAATCAGCTATGGAACTTTGACAGGATACAATCCACTTCTTTGTTTTACCTTCACATCGTCAGGAGTCAGAGGTGTTTTATCAATTGAGACCATCGAATTTGAAGCTATGAGACATGCGCAGAAGGCCTAAAAAACATACGGGATCACATTATGCCAGGACCCCCAAAAACTATCAGAAAAACACACTTTTCGGACGGGTTTTTTATGGGTTTCCACGGCTAAAATACGAGTGATCTACAGGTTAGCAATAGTCACATATCACATAGCCAAACTTTTCTAAACCGTGTGAAACATGATCTTTTCGAATTGCACTACGGTTTTCTACGGGTTAGTACGGGTTTTCTACAGGTCCCACACAATACAGCTACCTGGGCAACATGAACACGATGAGAATTGTCATAACTGATCGCTGGGGCTGTTTCCTGGTTTCCCGGCACCATATACTGTGGGGTTTTCAGAAGTGTTCAAGAAGAGACAAACTTTTGGCAAAAAGACGACCTTTTATGAAATATGCTCAAAAGACAGTCTTTTCAACGTAATTACTGCAAATGTGTGGACTTTTTTGGGGATGATATTGGTATTCAGCATATTTCAGAGTCATAAGTGTCATAAGTTCCTGCCCCAGCACTTGTCAAGTGCGATTCAACCTCCAGTCGCACCACAGGCCACACATGGGAAAAGGCACCTTTGCGCCGACGTCGGTGATTTGATCCCCGTGAAGGCACAACACCTCCAAGGTCTGGTTGCAGCGCAGAGCCTCTGCAAGCGCCTGCGGAAAAGAAATCTGGGCAATTCTTCAGCGAATATATCAGCATGTGACAATGTGATACATGTGTGCGTGTGTGAAACTAAACCCATTGCGAACATCCCTGTCAAACAGAACAGAGAAATCCCAAGTGACACCCTTTGTTATTTACGACCTTTACGCACGATATGAGATTTTTTACTAGCCAGAGGCCAGGATTGTGGATTTTAATTGTTTCGTGTTTATTCGTGTTCCGTTTTCGTGATTTTTTCTTGTTTTTTTTTCCTGCTGTTTTTCCTCTTCTTTTTCACTATTTGTGGATGTTGTTTTTTGTTTCGCCTTTTGTTTTCTTCTGGTTGCCATGCCTTGTCTGATGTGTTGCCACACTTCTCCAACCCAGGTTTTTCAATATTACGACATATTACGACTAAACATGTCTGCAAAGCATTCTTGCAAGAATACAGAATACGAGACATTCGATTTCGGGTCCTCTGGTCCAAACAGGACCCCAACGCAAAAGGGGAAGATGAACATGAAAGAAATAGGAAGAAAACAGGACCCCAACGCAGAAGGGAAAAACGACCACGAAAAAAAACGAAAAAATAACACGAAAAAAATGATAAAAAAAACTGGACCTCCTCGAGCCAGCCTTAAAAAAAACAAAAATTTGGAAAATCAAGAAAAACCTCGAATTTTGTGCGCTTTTTTTGCGTTCTTTTTTGCGTTTTTCTTGCGTGTTTTTTGCGTTTTTCCCTTGCGTTTTTTTTTGTGTTTTTTTTTGCGTTCTTTTTGTGTTTTTTTTGGCGTTTTCTTGGTGTTCTTTTTGTTGTTCTTTTCTCCTCTTCCCAGGGGCCGCTGTTTCTGTGCGAGGCGTCCTTGGCGACGCAAATCTTTGATGTAATTTCCTGTGGCCCTGGGAAATTGGATTTGAGCCGCTCTATGCTTAAAAAGGGTGCAATGCAATTATTTCCTATAAGTGATCCCTATCCTGCTGGAACTAAGAGATAGTGAAGAGGCAAAAACAAAACAATTACAAACAAGAATAGCACAATGAGACAAAAACAATTACAAAACCAAACAAACTAAAGAAAAGCAACAACACACAAAACATGCAAAAAAAACAGAAAAAAAAACAAAAAAAAATGCAAAATCGAAACACCAAAAAAACACGATAAAAACACGAAACAATAGCAATTGCTCGCACATCCTCTGTGGCTCAGAAAATATCATAATGTTGGAAATCCGCTATATGGAACTTTGACAGGAAACAATCCACTTCTTTGTTTTACCTTCACATCGTCAGGAGTCAGAGGTGTTTCATCAATTGAGACCATCGAATTTGAAGCTATGAGACATGCTCAGAAGGCCGAAAAAAAAATACGGGAGCACATTATGCCAACTATCAGAAAAACATGTTTTTCGGACGGGTTTTTTACGGGTTTCCACGGCTAAAATACGAGTGATTTACAGATATTTACAGTCATTTTTTGTCTAAAACGTGTGAAACATAATCTTTTGGAATTGCACTACGGGGTTCTACGGGGTTCTACGGGTTTTCTACGGGTTAGTACGGGTTTTCTACAGGTCCCACACAATACAGCTACCTGGGCACCATGAACACGATGAAAATTGACATGACTGATCGCTGGGGCTGTTTCCTGGTTTCCCGGCACCATATACTGTGGGGTTTTCAGAAGTGTTCAAGAAGAGACAAACTTTTGGCAAAAAGACGACCTTTTATGAAATATGCTCAAAAGACAGTCTTTTCAACGTAATTACTGCAAATGTGTGGACTTTTTTGGGGATGATATTGGTATTCAGCATATTTCAGAGTCATAAGTGTCATAAGTTCCTGCCCCAGCACTTGTCAAGTGCGATTCAACCTCCAGTCGCACCACAGGCCACACATGGGAAAAGGCACCTTTGCGCCGACGTCGGTGATTTGATCCCCGTGAAGGCACAACACCTCCAAGGTCTGGTTGCAGCGCAGAGCCTCTGCAAGCGCCTGCGGAAAAGAAATCTGGGCAATTCTTCAGCGAATATATCAGCATGTGACAATGTGATACATGTGTGCGTGTGTGAAACTAAACCCATTGTGAACATCCCTGTCAAACACAACAGAGAAATCACAAGTGACACCCTTTGTTATTTACGAACCATACGTCCTGTAATCCTCTTGCTTCCCCTGTTGCAGGACAAATGAATGCGTTGCCGCAGTTGTTGCGTCGCAATGCAACGCACGATATGACAAAAGGAACCCCCTCACTTCGACCAGCACCTTATCCGAGATCCTTCGAGCCCACCCCATCAAGCCATAAGCCTGGACTCCGTCGTCAGAAATGCAGGTGTCGCCCAAGTCGATGCTCTCCACCGGACTGCCACTCTTCAACAGTTGGGCGACCGCCTGGATTTGCACAGAAAACAGCGACATCCAACCAAGGCGGCTCTCAACATCTGACGCTCAGCAGGATTTTCAACAGGTCATACAGGTCTCCTAAGCCCAAATAATTCAGAGCCCAAATACATCGCCCCTCACATATGACCATCTCCCTTTTGTTGGAAAACGGATGCACAGAGACAGAGAAGTTCCAGCGACCCTTCCATGTCAACCAGTTTGTCCCCCTTAAAGAAATCCACCAGGCCTTGGCCTTTTGGTCGTCGATCTGATCATCTGCGGGGTCAACGGTGACGCTGGTCCCCAGGGAGTTCCTCTCCAAGGCGTCAGCCACCACCTGCCGAAGCATGACGAGGCAGGGCGCGGATCAAGGCCTGTTGGTCATGCTGTCGCCACATGTTGATCACCGGCGCTCGGCAACGTCGCAGCCGGCCTTGAGACGGACCGGTGCGTCGAGCGGCAGTCTGTCCTTGATGGACCTGTTCCTCCTCAAGGCTTTTTCCAGGGCCTCGCTGCAGAGGTGACACAGGCAGCATTTGCGACGCTGCAAAAAGTGGAAAAATCTGACTGTAAGGATCTGTGAAGATCTGTTAAGGAACTGTTAAGGAACTGTTAAGGGAAACGCAATAAAATGTGCCGCTAGATACCGCCTATCCTGAACACTGTCTGAAACTTTTGAAATAGCTTGAGCCAAGCCTTCTTGGCTGCAACATCGAATATAGATGCATCCTCTGCACTGACGCTTGTCAACGACTGGTTTGTTGTCGAGGCATCAACCACGGCCTGGCCGCGCGCAAAGAACAATGGCAGACTCTGAGACAACACCGAAGCTCTTGCTACCCAAAGTTGTCTCCTGCTCTCGCAGAATGCTGACGCTATCCCACTGGGTACACTCATGTGTACACTCTATCTGAAAGCAGAGAAGACACTCTCTGTGATATACCTTACACCATCTTACACCATCTTACACCATCTTACACCATCTTACACCATCTTACACCATCTTACACCATCTTACACCATCTTATACCATCTTACACTATCTTACACCATCTTACACCATCTTACACCATCTTACACCATCTTACACCATCTTACACCATCTTACACCTCCACAGGCCAAAGATGCCAAAGTCAGCCCCACAACTTCAACAGACTTCAACAGTTTGGGAAGAGCGCGACCGCTCCCGCCTTGCCCATCAAGGCTCCGCTGCCCGGCCGCGAATTTCGGAGCTCGAGACTCACGATTTGACTCGTGGCCAAAGCCTGGGGCGACAAAAGATGACACGTATAGCTTGAAATTGGGCTGCCAATGGACCGGCAAAATATCGCAAAATCATGCCAAATCTGCTTTTGTTTGTTTTCAGTGATAGTTTTGATCTACTTACTGATGACCTGTCGCAAGAAATGCACTGAACCAAGTCCCTGGCCTTGCCAAAGGCTTCTGCTGCTTCTTCGCTACATTCGAAGATATCAAGCTTCAAAGTCTTGAGACTTCTGTACAACGGCAGCGCCTCCGCCAGGGCAAAAATTTCGTGTTCTGGAAGTCCTTTCAGGACTAGGTGTTCACATACCGCAACTTTTTCGTCGAAGATCTTCTCTTGAAGTTCAACGACAATCGGCAAGTCTTTATCCCTATGGGTAAACTTTGCACGTTTCATTCTTTCCTTGAATTTGTCAGGGGTCAACGGCACTTTACCAGTTAAACCCTGACCCTGACCAGGTTCGACTTGGTCGGAACCTAGCCAGTCAATACACTGGCTTTGTGAATTATGAGTTCGAAGTGAAGACCAAGAAATCTCACCAATGCACCAGCCGCGCTCAAGGTATTCAGTTCTATTTTGAAAGAGACAATTCAAGGGCTTCGATTTGATGCTTTGCAGTTTGTCGTCCCAAACAGGAATGAGTTCTTGGTCATTTTTCATTGTTGATTCCCACACATCCGTGGGAGTCAGATGTTCTATTATAAAAGTCATGGTGCATTCATGTGCATACATGATATGCATGTTAGCCATTGCTGCTCTGAAGCTTCTTTCCTCCTCCGACAACAAGCGCTCGTACTGAAACAAGGACGTGAAATCGTAAAAAATCCACACATCAGTTTCAAAAGCAGCTTCATACCACGCAGCGCGATCAGCAATAAGCTGTAGTTGATATCTGCAAGGGTCGGGGTGCTCCCGAGTCTCCCATGCATGTGAAACCGAGCAAATGGTCGCAGTCCGGGCTCCTGCTGCCCAATTCTGCACTTCTGCGTGGCTGACTAAGGCACTTTCGGCCTTGCCATCAAATTCAAAGTTGCAAAGCTCCGCTTCTTGTCGCCGCGGAAGCGGCCGCTTGGATTGGGCCAAGTCATGAAGATACCTGGAAGAGAAGCAAGACACTCCGGTTGTGGAGGTGGATTTTGAAAGGTACTCCCGGGGATGTGTTGCTCTTTCTAATTTATTGAACCTGTATAGACTGACTTGCGCCACCCAAAAGTGGGGTTGCTCAAAGCAATTAGCTTATGTTTCCGAACTGAAACCAGCAGCAGCGGCAATGGATGAAAACATGATGAAACTACGCAGAGCCAATGGCCTCAATATATGTGGTGTCGTTGTATTGGAAGTTTTGCGCATGTTGCAACGACTGAGGATCGAACTTTGCTCTGATCAATCGGATGTCTGCATCCTGAAGGAACTGCGCAAAGGCATGTGGCTCTTTCAGGTCATATCGGTGAGCCTTGGCACACATGGACCCCAGAGAAAAGAGAAATGTCTTATCCAGTTCTTCCAATTGTCTGGGTCAAGAACACATCGGAAGAAGCGAGGAACTGCCTAAGTCTACTGGGGAAACATCTGCTAAGTACATCCCTCGGAACTTGTCTGGAGTCAGACTGGCTCTGCGGCCGCGTCATGGCCTGTTGGCCCTATTTAATGTGCTGCTGTAGCTGTAGCTGTCATTCCATGTTATTTCGGGATCTTCTGAAACTCCAGGATTGAAACTTGCATCACCTTGCATCCGTTCACGTTTCTGGGACACTAAAGCCAAGAGCAAACAGTGCCTGAACCCCGAGACAAATCAGTTTTCTAGATCCTGATGAGTGAAATTTGAGCGACATTCGACAATATTCAGATATATCAGTTGGTTGTGTTTTTAACTGACCATAGTCATATTGGGATCAACCAGGAATTGCTTCAGTATCTGCATATCTGCAGGTACCACGATAAATTATCCGCAGCCACTCCTACGTATGAAACTATGTAATTGTGCTGTCTGGCAAGGCACGTGGCCTACATGGTGCAAATCTCTCGGTCACACAGGTCACATTCAACGACCACTATGCTGCAACATAAAGTCCGGCCAGAGTTCAAACTGAACGTCATAAGACTTGCCAACAATTTCAATCAATCGCATTTTCCATATACCTCTGTGATGTGTGCCAGTGTTACATTGCTACATACTGACCTATGGCGTGGGGATACACATCTGTCACTGAGTGTACATCCAGCAGTCTTGGTCTTCAATAAAGAAATGCAAGTACATGTCTCCAGCTATCGGATATCGCAACGAACAAGGTACATGCACGGCACCTAGCAAGCTTTCATTTCATATACAATCATATACATACATCTCGCGCTGGCAGGTACAAACGATGCGGCAATATGCTTCAAAGTCAGGCTGCACAAGTCCGAACATCGACGTGAAATGACGTGTATGTCAGATACCGTCATCTCCAGTGTCGAAGTCTGAAACAAACCCCCCCTGCATCTCCGTCGCGCAGCCGAGCAACGGCAGCCACGGTACGCGGAACGTCGACCGGTGCGGCTGCGGAGTCCGCGGAGTTCGGAGCCAGGCCTCAGCAGACACGGACTGCCGGACTGCGCAGCGTGGCGAACCGCACATGGTCCGTTTTCCAACCGGAGGAAATTTGTTGCACAAGATCTCTATAGTAACCCCCAAAACAAATGGAAGAGTAAAATGGCCTTATTTCATGCTGTTTTTCTATCTTTTGGGGAGTTGCAATAGATTGACTCAGTCTATCCAAAATAGTGGCAGTTTATGAGTCAATGGAGAATCACTTCGGAAACAGCAATGACTAGAAAGAAACAAACGATACCTTATTCATCCATGACGTCAGACCGCAACAGTTGAAATCCCCTTGCCTTTTATCATGTGTGAGCTCTGAGGGTGCCATTTGCTAGCAATGCCTGGCCTTGAGAAGGTGTGGAACATGCAAGCTACAATATCTGGAAGCACATATTTTACAAAAGAAAAACATGGAAAACAATCTATCATCTAACTAATCATGAGGAAAAGCCAATGCCTTCCTTGCCTGCAAAGTGCCGTGATGTAGTGCCCTGGGTTTACTGTAGATGTCTGTGTAAGGATGCCATGCCTTGATGGCCTGCAAAGTTATATCAGAAAATCAACTTGTAGCAAACCATGCTATTCTGCACGCGTGGTTATCACCTCAAGTTCGCTTCAATATTCTGTAAGGTTCTCTTGCCACACCATCATAGTATTGAGAACATTGAGCAGCACGTTGGCCACGGTCAACATAAGGATTGCTGAGTTTTCGGGGCCTCCTGGGGCTCCATCCGGACCCTGATCCACCCCAGACGTAGCATGACGTATGTATGTTGAATGCAATAGAACATGATGTTAGCGTAGAGCAAAAACACCAAAACTACCAGGTTATTTATCAGCACGCCTCCAAAAACAAAAATGAAAACATGAAAATATGAGTTTTTAGCTGGTCCAGATATTTCATGATATTTCCATATGATTCCATTGGGGTCCCGACCGGAGGATCTCTGAGGCCACGGCCCAAAGCGTCCTTCGCTCCAGCAGCCGCTTCGCCTTGGCTTCGGCTCCGACGTAGATCCGGATGACGGAATACTTATCTTGGCTCTAATTCACCGTGGTTATAGAATCTTATAAATCCCCCATGTTTCTCATGAAATCCCTGTTCTAAATAATTCGTCTGATTCAATCAAGTTAAATCAAGTCAAATCCCACTTTTGAGCTACAAATTCTATAGTAACTATATATATATATATATTCCATGAAATCTCCACGTCTTATGGCTGCCCGGCTGCCCATCTCATGGCACCGTGTGAAATTCGCTCCCTTCGCTTCGGTTCCGGGCCGCTGTTTGTGGCATCCGCGGTGGCACCTTTCGGGGCCTCCTGGAGCCCCGTCCGGGCCCGGACCAGATGTAGGGGACCATGAAAAATAGGGAGTTCACTGATATCATGGGAGATTCGATGGCTCAAAAATTGGATTTAACCATGATTTAACCATAGAAAAAAAGGAGATTTCATGGGATATTCATGGGGATCTAATGGATAAATAAATGATTAAATGTGGATAGTAGGGGCAGCCAATTGATGAAAAACATGGAGAATTGATTGTATTAGCAAAAAATGGTGAACAAATAGAGAGTTAACATTATTCTCAGTAGGGGGCATACACCAAGAAATTGAATTGGCTGTTCCAATAGTTGTGGTTTGAGTTCAAACGAGTAGAACACATCTTGACAGGAGTTCATTGTTCCCTTCTCTGGTCACACGTCTAAATATGTTCCACAAAAATAAACGATCAATGTATCGTTGCAGGTGATGTTGGCCCGTCCGAGACCATGGCCCAACCGCTCCTCAGCTTGAGCTGCGGCCTTTGCGTCTCCTGGGCACGTGACTCTGATCCCAGGAAAACTCAAGCCCCAAGTCATTTTACAAATCAACCGTGATCACATGGGGTACCCGATTTTTCAGACCCAAAGATCCCAACCAAGAAAAAAGAGGTTCCAAGCGCCGAGCCCATGAAAGATGCGATTGCCACCTAGTCAAGCTGGCGCATGAGTCAAGTCACCAAAAGGTTGCATGGTTGATACCTGCATGTCCAAAAATCCGTGTCTCTGATTTAAGTTTCACCAGTACACAATCATGTTCAGAAAAGCATATCCATAGATATCCATGGTATGTGAAGAAGACATAAGAAGACGACCACGTTACAGTACTGCAACACATATTGGGCGGCCATGGTGTCTCAATTCATCTAAATTCCACCCAGGTCACCCCAACACCCCTTCCGCCTTCAAGATCTTTGTTAAAGGACCCCGACCTGCCCTCCCTAGCTGACACCGATGCTAACATCAGGAGGATCCTGGCACCTCTCAAGAAAAATCCGAAACCCGAGCACAGTGAAAACTTTGAAACCACAGTGATCCACACATTCACCTCACTGGATTCTGTTGACAGAGCCCTTTCGGTTTCCCTCAGAATTACGGTGAGAATTCATAAGACTGGCAACGGGACGCGCAGATACGAAGGCTCTCCCCGGATGAGAGGCAGCATATTTTACACGCATAGACAACACCAAGGGGATGGAAGTGGATGAAATAACGATCGCAGACCAGTTGGGGTTGGACCCAAGCTGCCAAGTCTGCTCGACCAGGACCCAACGAAGTCGAAAGCATCGGAACGCAAATGAAGGTCTGTCTATAGAAATGGGGTTGACACCTCAAATTTATGACCGTGACAAGTCGCCTCCAGGTCTTTCGAAGCCTTCAACGCTTCCAGGTCATTCAGCACAGCCTGGATTGCTGCCTGCGCAGGACCAGCTGACACCCGATATCCGTCGAATACTGGGATATAGTTTGCCATGACAAATCGCGCATCTTTTTAGAATCTATATGCAACACCACAACCAGAACAAAGCAACATTCCATCTTTGCTGGGATGCCAATCGGAAACTTGTCACTCCACATTTCATCCAGATTAATCCGCAGCAACTCCACGGTGTGCACCTCGGCTTTGAGGTTCACAGCGGTATACAAAGCAAAGTTCCGCAGCAAAGTCTTCAGTTCATCCTGCTCTGCTGTACAAAAAAAACGTGTGGTCGACAACTGCCCTTCTACAAACTTTCGACTTCCAACGGACACTCTCTTCACTTTCCACTAGGTCTGGCGCAACACCGAACAAGCAAGATTCTAACAACTCTAAGACCAAGAAGAAAGCAGAAATAAGAATGGAACCACTCTTCGTTCAGAAAACCGTTTGAATCATTTTGCCCGCACTGAACCCACGCCCCCCGGCTGCATCCTGCTTGGTCGCATCTGAAAGTTGGCATTCCATAGATCGAAGTTTTGCCTCATGGTGGTGGCAAGGTACCCGGTTGAAAGGATCCAATCTATTGTTTGCATACCAAAAATAAAGTTCAGCCGAATCCCTATAAACATGCAATGGCTATCTTCTTAGCGGATGATGGCAGCAGTCTTGTAACATCAAGAAGACCACACCGGCTAGGGCATTGCTACCATCCACGATATGACGGATCCAGGGGCTCGGTGCATGTTTTGATAGATCTCGCTTTGAGCATCCACTTCCAACTGTCCAACTCAACCGATTCCACGACTCCACCAATTCTGGCCCTGCCAACCGGACTGAACCTCGAGTATCTCTCGCTCAACTCTTTGTCTGTGAAGGTGGTCACAGGATGTCTTCAACAAAGCCTTTCGTCACAAAACTGGACACCCGAAAAGCAAAGCAAACCAAATCGCAGAATATCACAGAGATATACAGAGATGTTTCTTGGCCGTGCTCTGTCTGCTCTGGATTTTACTCCGGCTACTAGAAACGTACCTATTGTGCGGAATCATGCGGAATCATGCGGAATCAGTCCAAGACGTCCAAGTCTTTCTTTAAACTGTGAGTGTCCGTTCGCGTGATGCTTGTAATTACTTTGAATGCTGCGGAAATCAAGTGCCATGTCCATCAAAGCACTGCAGCACACCATGGCACACCATGAACCAATTTGGTCGCGATTTGGTCATGATTTGGTCATGATTTGGTCACGTAGCTCATGGACCACCACTTCCAACCACCAAGGGTCAGCCTTCACAGCGTCGTTTGACGGCTGCAGCTCCACCAACATATCCTGAAGTCTCGCCCCAAGCAACAACCGTGACCCACCCACAGATTTCACATGGCTCTGACCAAAAAGCTTGGTTCTTTGAGGATTCTTCTCTGCTCTTCACATGTTGACAGGGAACAACACAAAAATTTCTCCAGCAGAATGGTCCGTGCATTGATTACATGCAGAAAACGTCGGCTGAAACTCCAAGTTTCAAACACTCACTTCGCAGCAATCAAGATTGAAACAACCACAACATGTCCCTGTGATACTGAAGCTGTGTGCGAATCAAACAAGTTGGTGTTTCAGGCCATGGTACGCAACTGTGATGAGAATAAAATGCGGTGCAAGGCTAAGCAACAAGAAACGTGGTTTCTCAGGTCGCAATAGAAAACCGACCTGACTTCCCAAGAACTGTACCTCTCAGAGCCCACCTGCACCTGAGTAGTTGATTCCATACCTTCGTCGACCTCGCAACACACATTCTGACCACCCGAATGACAGCTAAAGGAGTGCAGTTGTGTCGCCGGAATTCTTGGCGGCACTTTGCCAATCGTGACCAAAAAACATGTGTTCATATATGTGAATATATATTATTACTTGAATCGCCTAGAAAAAACCCAAACCAAAGGGGGTTTACTAAAAGACCACCGCACACAAGCCCAGGGCAGCGGCTGCGGCCTGTTTTCATCTTGAGCCAAATAGGCGTCAAACAACCCAATCAGGAGGTGTTTTTACAGTGAACAACATGGGTATGATTTAATGATTTACACCATGTTTTTCAAGTCCCCCGTGACGACGAACTGTACAAGGGTTGTTACACCATAAACTATCATAAACTGACAAATACATCCTACTCGTGGCGCCTACGGTCGAATGCAAATCTCATAGCTCTTCAGGATGGATTCCAGGCAAGAGATGGCAGAAATCGATTCGGTGATCTCGACATGCCTGGCGATGTCATGCACTACTGTGCGGATGTATTAATTAAACTACACTAAACGGATGCATAAGAGGTGGCGCAAAGCAGCCAAACTCGGCATTAAACAGAACGATACACGCGGAAGAGGCGCTAACGCAGCCAAAAGTCCACGGGCAGTAGGATGAAAGACAGTGACAGTCAAAAACAAATTCAAGGAAGTGACCACGCAAAATCCGAGAAAATCGATGATGACAAAAGCAGATGGGACTTAGTCACATCCACTTCAGGCTGCAGCATAACAGAACGTCAGGTTTTTGATGCCATCGGTCGAAAAACGGATATCCTGAATGCATACGGAATGCAAGACTCACTTACGAGATGAAAGCTTCATGTCTTGAGCGACACTATGTGTAGAAGCTTGAGTGCAGAATCCCACGCAGACACACCAAGGGACTTTGTGAGTACATCGGCTCGCTGCTTAAGCGTTTCAATGTATTCTGCATTAATGTCAGGCTCGTTGAAAGCCTCACAGGTAGAAGCAACGTTGATCTTATGAAACTTGCTCAAATGCCGTAACTTGGAAGAAAACCCACGGGCAATGATGGCGAGAACGGCCTGATTGTCCTCGTAGTAGGTCAGCACAATCTCAGGAGTGATGAGCTGCTGGCAAATTTCAAACAACGGAACTGCCTCAGTGAAAAGTGATGTCGACAACGATACAAACTCGGCTTTGGTTGTTGACCGGGATACTGCACGCTGCCGTTTACTACACCACAAAATTAAAGCAAAAGATTGAGGACCTTCAAGCGCAAGCAGGTACCCTGAAGTTGATTTCATGTCGGGTGCGCTGCCAAAGTCAGCATCAGCGTACAAAGACAATCGCAAGTCAGAAGGCTTGTCATGAATGCGCATGATGCTGCAATGGTCCAAAGTCGCAGCTACATAGCCAGCAAGTCTGGTCATACGCTTGTCATCATTGACGGTCCATTTGGTGATATGACCTGCACAAACATTGATCGCAACCATCAAGTCTGGTCTGCTGATACGACCAAGCCACATGAACTTCATCACAAGCAACATTGGATAACTGCCCTATGCCAGCCTGATCGGTAGCCAAAAGACTGCCTTCATCCACATGAGGAGTGCGAGCATGCTTGACAGGTTTACCTGAAAGTTCTTCGAAAAGTTTGACACATTGCCTTGCAAAATCAGTGACGTGAAGAGCTAAACCTCCATCATGCTTGATGTGACCTCTACCCAACACTTTTGAGAGTGGTTCTGGATCTTCAAGCTGCGCAACTTTTCTCAAGACATCTCAAAACTTGGAATGATTGGCACGAGGACCTGACAACGTCAAATCATCTACATAAACTGACAATGCCAATCGCAGACTCGGATAATAAAAGCATGATGGTAGCTGCTCAAATTCAAACCCCCCTAATTCTTGCGCAAGGACTTTGGAGAGATGGTTCTGCCAATACGCGCTGGCCAGGTGGCCATACAATCATTTGATGAGCGGAGCGCAAGGCTGATGGATATGCTTAGCATGATCTGGAACCAACTCGATGGGTAAAAGCACATAAGTAGGTTGGGATGAACTCAGAATAGATTGCACGTAGGCCTTGATGCAATCGCTGGTAGTGGTTTCATTGCCATCAAGAAGTCCATAAGCTACTGTCAGTTTAAGTCCACCAAGACTGGTAGGAGCTGAGGCTGCAATGTCATCAAACACTGCCGCTTGATTTTCCTCATCCCTGACAGCGTCTCCCCGAAACACAATTCGAGCTTTGACAATCCATTCATTGGACGGCTTTTCAGCACCTTTGATGCTCACAACAACCATAAGAGAACCAATGTGAATCTTGTTGCCAGATGACTGAGCCATAGCTAAAATCTCAGACTTCGGACGAATGTTGGACTCATCCCACGTCCCATTGGCAAGAAGACCTTGCTTCTCATTTTCAATGGCCTTGAGAGCCTCTGGATGGCCCTTCCACTCATTGCGATCCAGCAATTTGTGCACAAAGGCAGGAGTTCTGATTTCAGGACATCCAGTTTCTGCCATCATTACCTCCAAAGGCACTGAAGGATGACCCTTCACAAGCTTCTGGCGATGTGATTGTCGTGAGCGAGCAAAACACTGTATGCTGAAAACGTGTCTATTGGGAAGCAAAGAACTGATCATCAAATTGCACAGCGGTTTTGGGTAAAATGCTGACATCCTAGTCCATTTACCTTGAAGTGGTGCATGACTACTATGAGTACATTTTAATGCAGCAAGGTTCGTGGCCAAACGCAATGAAGATGTGACAAGCCTCCAAGGCTTCTTTGCTGGCTGACCGTCAGCTTCAACTCCGACTGCGCACACATTGAAGGTCGCTGAATGCAAATTCCTTTCCAGAATCCACGACTGAATCGAAGGCAAAGGAGTACAGAAACGTGGCCACTCAAAACTGCAATCACCACCATTGTCAAGACAAACGTCTGCAACCCGAATGAATTGCGCAACTAACGCTTCGCTCTCTGCTCTTTCCTGACGAATTCGTGCTGTCAACTTTGGGTACTTGGCTTGATTCACATGTTGCCATTGCGACCATGGTTTGCATTCGACGGAACAATGGATGGAACACCCTGGCAAAGCACCAACCAACCTGAGAAATCAGCTGCTCAATGCTATGAGGATTCTCCAAATCAATGTCTTCCTTGCACAAACGAACGACTTTCACACCATGTTCTGGTCCAACCTTTCCAAGATTAGAATCTTTGGCACAAGCGAACTCAAACAAAACATCTTTGCCAACACGATTATGCTTACCTTTGCTATGCTTCGGATTCTTCTTCTCTGGGGTCGCTGTGGCGCCAAGGCAACCGAACTGACCACCCCTGATTTAAAGATTCCTGAAACAATTCTTGAACACGATCCTGAGGCAACACTGTAGCTGCATCGCAAGCAATACTTCCAGTAACTGCCACACCTGATGTAACCACGTGAATGGGATCCTCGTCCTCAGCAGGAACATCTTCAGGAAAAACGTCTGGAGGAGGACACTCAGGAACAAGATCATAATCTAATGGATCATGAGCTGCAATGGAAGGTTCATATTCAAAATCCAAACCAGGCGGAAAAGCTTCATCTAGCAGCTCTTTCAACTCACCTTGTCCACGAGGCGTAGGAGCAGGTGAAGCATGGCCATGAGCTTCCTCATGTCTTGCTACGCATGTCTCGTGTGTAGACTTCCCGGTCAGGAGCTTGAACGCACACGATGTTTCCCTCACGCAAGGCTTGATAGTCCAAGAGAGTCAAAACACCTTTGAACCTAAGTCCAAATTCCAACTTCCATCCAGCCATGAGAGCTGGTGATGCATTCGGATCCAACTTTGGTTTGTACTGAAATTTGGTTCGATAAAACACCAATGACCAAGTGCGTCATTTGCATTTTTGAACTCCGTTCCAAAAGCTTTCTCCCATTTGTCAATGCTACTTGCAACTGCGGCGTACCTGCAAGTGATTGGCCACAACTTGGGTAAGACAGCAAAACCAGCTTGTAGATGCAAACATCTGCAACACTCTTCAAAAAGTTCGGATCATGCGTTCGCACTTTGAGTTATGAGGCCATCTTCGAGGCAAAGCCGTCTCTGGCAACCATCCCAAATCACGAATAGCCTTCACCAGGTTCTGGAGCAGCGTCACTTCGGCAAACCGTGGCTGGGTTTTTGAATCTCAGGCCAACAAAATGACGGAAGACATGAATACACAAAATCTGAACCTTTTAATGTTGCTGGATATGCATTGACTATCCCACTGAATGAGTCATACACTATTAGAACAAGAAGCTCCTTTCCTCCTGAAGATTTCGAGACAACCATGTGATCGATGGCGACCTGTTCACCAAACTTGGAGCGTTCTGACAAGTCTGATTCTGGGCCAGGGACACGATGACTGCGAATCCTTTTTGAAAAGAGCTTGGCACGATTGCAAATGTCGCATAAGGGATGCTTTGGAAAATGATTGATTCGATGTTCGATTGAAACGGCTTCGGCTCTTGCACGGACAACCAAATCAGAGAGCATCGGAAGAGGTTCATCTGGAGCAACTTCCCTAACTTCAGCAGCTCTGGATGAGCGTTCTCCTAAACCCCCGGGCTCAACAGCAGGATCAACTGACGAATCAGGAACTACTGGCTCCTCAAGAAGTTCAGGAGGCGTCTCAACACGGAAGTCTTCGGCAAGATGTTCAACAGCAGCCGGAACTCCAGGTATTACTTCAAAATTGGACTGGAAGAAAGGCACGTTTTGGGAAACCGTTGATGCATAAAACTTGTTCTCTTCACTACAGCTGACATAGTATGGCTTACAGCCAGGAAGCCGAATGAAAACAAGTCCATTCTGTTCCACATCAAGTCCAATCAACCGAACCATGGGGCATGAGCCCAAGATAAAGTGACTGGCTTTCCCAAACGTGCCATTCCGATCTTGAAAACCAATGGAAAAGGACGCGTTTGTCCACCACCTGTAGAAAAACGAAGGCTTTCATGAGACTGATTGGAG